CACATTGGTCCAAAATCCTCCCCTACATGATTGCATTTTAAATATGATACAATATGCATTAACATAATAACTCCCACAATGGCATGTTATAGATTATATGTAATCATTCATGTCAATCCAACTTGCCAACTCTCACTGAAAATGAATGATTCCAATTGTGTGAACTTAGAATTATTCAATACTGAATGTCAATTCTGCAATTAGAGGAAATGACATCATCAGAACAGGAACTCAGCGGCAAGATGGATGGCATACCTGCGGGAGGTCTTCTTCACTGTGTCTGGATTGGTCTTCTGCTCATCCGTCTTGTCTCTCTTTAGTTTCTGTGAGATGTTCTCTCGGATCCGCTCTCTCTCTGATTCACGATCGCTGTCGTCCTCTGAATCATCGCCTGCATCCTGGAGCAGATAACAGACACAGTCTTAAATCACAGTACGAGATCCTCAGAAATCACTGAACTGAACACAAATCAAAGAGAACGTACCTCAAAATCATCTCCTTGGTTCCTTTACATATAGAAACCAAAAATAGATTTTACATTAATTATGGATTACATCTGCATTATGTAACAAAGACATTATAATAGAAAGGGGAATTATTCAGGTGAAGGTTTTTCTCCCGACCTGTCAACGACTGGAACAGAGCTTAACTTGGGATCATCCTTCAGCAGGTCATGACTGCTTTTGCTTTTCCCTTTCATGGTCTGCAAGAACGGATGAATGCAAGAACGCTGAAAGCACCTACTGCTCATCTTCACACAAATTAATAACCACCTCCATGGAGGAATCTTCTCATTGGACAGAAAGCTACCTGGCTGACTTGACTGACCATCTCCTCGTCTTCCTCGGCCTCCTCTCCAAACGACAACAAGCTGAAATTCCTATAGTAAAATTCTCCTGGTTAACATTACATTATGGAAACATTGTACAGCATCAAAATACAAAATTAAACTTTTTTTTTTTTTTTATCAAATAATTTCCACAATCCAATAAATACAAATGGATAAAACCAAATATCATCAATATTTTCAGTTATATATTACAACACAGAATACATCAGCGGTTCTCAAACAGGGGGCCTCAGGATGACTTAAAAGAATGAATTAATAAATTATTAATTAACTCTAAATTAATCAGTGTTACTGTTAACTAAAACTAACATTTAAACTATCAAAATTGCTTTTATTAACTGAAATATAGCTGAAATAAAATATAAATATTAGACATCAACTTAAACTTAAAAAGAAAATTAGAAATGTTGCCTTAGCAACTAATTTATATAAAATAAGCTGAAGTTGAATTACTAAAATTGTTAAAAAATAAATAAATAAATTATAAAAGCAAATTTATCATTTTAATAAATACTACAATAGTTGAATAATAATAATAATAATAATAATAAAACACTGAATGTATTATTGATTTTAAGAAGCACGTTTCTTTTTTCCCTCCTAACTATTCTTTTTATTGAAGGGCATACAGTTCTTGAAACTTCTGGAATCATCAAATAAATTGAGGCTAAATTCACTTCAGCATTCTAAGTCTCTGTTTAGAAAAAGCTTAAAGAGGAGCCGTTTTTTTGTGGCCTTCGACTATTGCTTTGGGCAACAGGGATAATTCATTTCAAAAAGTTTGAGAGCCACCAGCATACATCACTTCATAGACATTAAATGCATTGTGAATGATTGTATCATGTTGTCTTTAATGCTGGTATCTAAATAAATTAAAGAAATCACTTAAATAAAAGTTTAAGAGTGTAAGTGTGCCATACTTTGTTGCTTTGGACTGTGATTTCTTCCCTTCTTCTTTGTTTTTCTCTTTTTTAACTTTAAGTTCACGTGGAATGATGTCATCAAAGGGAGAATGTAAGACCTGCACAAAACCAACGACTCCATATGAAAACGAAGGTCAATCAAATTAAACGATAAAGCCAGTTCATGAGGGGACTGAACATACCTCTGTGGATCGAATTTTGTGTGGGTTGAGCGGCCGTTCATCTCTGTCACACTCCACCTCTGCTAGCCTGAGAATGTTATACACCGTATCTCCTGTGACCTGCAGCCAAAAGCACAACAGACAAACTGTGGAAATCAATGAAACAAATAAAAATAATAATAAATCAAACAATAATAAATTAAATCAGTAACATATATTCATAAACATTACTGGATAAATGAGTAAGACTTATAGGAACAGCTCACCCAAAATTTAGTCAAAATAAGTCTAAAGCTGCATGTATTTGATCAAACATACAGTAATATTGTGAAATATAATTACAATCTAAAATAATGGTTTTCTATGTGAATATATTGTAAAATGTAATTTATTCCTGTGATGCAAAGCTGAATTTTCAGCATCATTACTCCAGTCTCACATGATAAATCATTCACTTCAGATTATTATTATTATTATTATTATTATTATTATTATTATCAGTGTTGAAAACAGTTGTGCTGCTTTTTTTTTCTGGAAACTGTGATGCATTTCTTTTCAGGATTCTTTGATGAACAGAAAATTGAAAAGAAGAGCATTCATTTAAAATAGAAATCTTTTGTAACATTATAAATCTCTTTACTGTCACTCCCGATCAATTTAATGCATCCTTGCAGAAAAAAAAAAAAACCCTATAAAAAAAAAAAAAAAGTCCTAAAACATTCATAAGGGGGAAACTACCCCCTTAAATAGGTCACAAAACCTTGAACATTTTGTGGAACATCACCTTTCCAAAAATGGTGTGTTTGTTGTTGAGTTCATCAGCCCGTCCAAGAGTAAAGAAGAACTGGCTCCCATTATCATGAGGTCCTGCGTTTGCCATAGCAACCAAACCTCTCCGATTGAAGCGTAATCTGGAGTGAAATTCATCCTGTATTGGAAAACCCAAACAGTTAAAAACAGTACCCTTTACAATGCTTTCCTGCACATTCTTATACAAACATATGCAAAATGCACATAGACTTATGCCCAATCCCAATTCTACCCCTTAGCCCTTCCCCTTTCCCCTAACCCTCCGTTTCGCGCTAGGGGTAGGGGAAGGGGAAGGGGTATAAAATAGAATTGGGATTGGGCCTTAATCTTGTAAATAACCAATTCTTCACAAAAGTCAAGACCAACCTTAAAAGGGCGACCATAGATGGACTCCCCACCCGTCCCAGTGCCTGTGGGATCTCCTCCTTGAACAATGAATTCTGGCACCACACGATGAAAGATTGTGCCATCATAGTAACCTGCAAAACAGAGGCAAATGTTTACGATGAGTAATCAAGGTATTTCATTTAACAACATGACATCATGACAAGTGCCTCGTCTTGTCTGCATTAACTTCTGCATATCTTACAGTATGACGCCACCTACCCTCCATACAGAGCTGAGTGAAGTTTCTACACGCCCTGGGAGCTTCCTTAGACCAGAGCTCTATATCAATATCACCTGCGGAGGTCTTCAGCAAGACCTATGAGAAAACATCAGTGTGTCATTATACAGATACAACGGTTTTGGTGCTTTAACAAGTTTTTTTTTTTCAGTGACATTTGGAAAATACAGGAAACAAAGAAATATACATAGCAAAAACAGCTAAAATTACCCAAAAAAAAGCCTACTGTATTATATTTGATAAGCTAATTTCTAAGGCCTCTAAAAAAAAAAAAAAACTCACAATCTACTAAATGCTTTCTGTCATCTGATTGATAGCTTATACTTTTTTTTAGCAAGTAAAAAGGCATTTTAGTTTAATTAATGTCCACATTAAGGTCCTGGTCTTAAGTAAGGTCTTTAGGTTTAATTGATTACCCGTACATCTTTTTTTTGGGGGGGGAAATAATGTTAAAATGTGAGTGTTCATTTGCTCAGTCATCATTGTATTTCACTGCATTATTTGTTTCGCCCCCACAATAAAAACTACAGGGCTTTGGTCATAAAACTAAGCATTTAAATATCATATTACTAAGACATAACATATTATTAGGAGATTTAGAGAGACAACTGATTCATATAATTTAGTGTGTGCTGTCCATTATACTCGTATAAAGATCTCATTGATTAACATTACAAGCTATCAGAATTTCATCTCTTTGGCCATATAAATATCAGCAATAGCACCGAATTGCATATTTTGCTCAGTTTTACCCTCTAAATAAATAAAACCGTGGTGATTTTCCCTCCTCGAATATGAGATCCATATTCTCAATATATCATATTATATGATCCATAAAACCCTAATACTTCAAATACGATACTCAACAAAACACACATGCAAACTGTTCCTTTTTTTTTAAACTATTAAACTATTATTTCATATGACAGGCTTTAAAGGGTTAATAACACAAAAAGTAAATACAAGTAATAATATTACTACTTTGTTTTAATAAAATACCAAGTGTTGCATGATAACTCTTACTTAAGATACAAAAAGAAGAAAAACAGAAGAAGAATATATCAGTTTTTAAGTCTTATATTACATTATTTTCCATGAATATGAGTTTGAGATGTTGTTGAAACTCACCTTTCCATTAGTGGGTGGCTCTTGAATGTATATGTTGCTCATCTTTAACGCGTATTATTTGTGTATATTTCCCTCAAAGCTGGTTGACAGCAAAAGTACAAAATATACGCAGGTATTACAAGAACATACCACAAGCACGTCCAACAAATATTAAGTATTTTCTTATGTGATGTTTACAAGCGAAATCATGTCATGCCGCCAGAGTTTCATTGACTCGCTCCTGCAGCGTTTGTTCGGTCTTATCGCCCCCTACTGTAACGGAGGATTGGCAGAAGGAGTATGGTAAATATTAATTTATCCTGTCATAGACTATTATCAGAAGATGCAGAATTAAAATGACGGATAGTAAACTCTGCCCTATTTTCAATGTGTAATTTTAAATATATAAAATAGTGAATATCCACGTGTAATTAAGCCTCTGAAGCAGTCGTTGATTGTGTTGCCAGGTGGTAGATGTTACTTTTCTCCGCGCTGGTGAAGATGGACCAATCACAGCCGCTTATGATTACAGGGATTTCACGTTTTGAAAAGCGGCGGAGCAAAAACAGACGAGTTGTTTTGCTGTTTTATAATTTAGATCAGTAACCGCTCGAGTATATCATGGCTGTCCCAGGTATGCGTTTGCAGAGATTAACGGATTGTCCACTAGTTTTGCTGATTGTTGTTGATATGCCGCTTCAGGAATGTTCTAGAAAGTGTCCCTCACTTCATTAGTATCTTCACATCAGACACATATCCTTATGTTTCAGACTTCATATTTTACTCTTAGGTATGGGTAACTGTTAACTGGTGTAAGATATTCTGTCAAAACAATGTTTGGTATAATGCAAGCTGCTCGATGTTTTATGGTGTGCTCAATTCTGAAATCTTTGTAGGTTTAGATGAAATATCCTACGAAAACTAGTTTTCTTCCAGCTAGTTATTGGTTTTGTAATAAGTGGTGATGAATTTACGTCCTAAGTCGATATTGAATGTGTTTTGCTAACAGGCCCAAACAAGGACAACATCAGAGCAGGCTGCAAACGATGTGGATATCGTGAGTGAGATCTGTCTGTCTTTCTGTTTGTCTGTCAGGGTTTTTTTTTTCTATCTACCTAACCATGTTTATCTATCTATCTATCTATATGGTAACACTGACTTTTGTAAATGTTTATAAATGTTTACTAATCATTATTACCTTTGAGCATTCATCTCGATGGCAAAATGTGTCCCAAATGACCTGAATTCACCCTATTTACACAACTTAACTAATGAATTATTACTCATTTGGTCTTTTTTTTTTTTTTTTGCAGTACCCAATCTAAAGTTGAAACTATTCCTCATTTGTAAATATTTATAAATGTTTACTAATCTTTTAGTATCTTTATGGGCATTGGACTTTTAGCTGCTGTAACAACATTTGTGTTGCTAGTTAAAGGAACACTCCACTATTTTTGAAAATAGGCTCATTTTCCAACTCCCCTAGAGTTGAACAGTTGAGTTTTACCGTTTTCGAATCCATTCAGCCGATCTCCGGGTCTGGCGGTAGCACTTTTAGCTTAGCTTAGCATAGATCATTGAATCTGATTAGACCGTTAGCATCTCGCTCATAAATGACCAAAGAGTTTCTTGAGAGAATATACTTGTTCATTTATCAAAACAATGATTAAGCCGTACTCCCTTATAGTAATCAATCTATCTAGTCAGTTTTTTCTGTATGTTTTCCTGTCTGTCTATCCTTTTGTTTTTTCTGTCTGTCTCTTTTATCTGTCTGTCTGTCTTTTTTTTCTATCTATCTATTATTGCTGTTCATCCATGTGATAATGTCTCTTTTCTTTTTCATCATCCATTGTTTTCTCCAGCTGGTCATTTGACTTTTGAATGTCATAATTTTGTTCGTGTGGATCCGAGGAAGGACATTGTTTTAGATGTGAGCAGCACCAGCAGTGAGGAGAGTGAAGAAGAGGAACAGGTAGCTGTCAGCAAAGAGAAGGTCTTTGACAGCAGCCATTCAAAAGGTCATTTCACTGTTTCACACAATGTTTTATGTTTCCACTTCTGTCTCAGGTCTTCCTGCTTTGTGTGCATGCATATATATATGAAACATTTCATTGACACATTTACCTGAATACTGAGAATATTGTTAATAATCATCGATAGATGGATGGACAGACAGATAGATAGATGGATGGATAGACGGATGGACAGACAGATAGATAGATAGATAGATAGATAGATAGATAGATAGATAGATAGATAGATAGATAGATAGATAGATAGATAGATAGATAGATAGATAGATAGATAGATAGATAGATAGATAGATAGATAGATAGATAGATAGATAGATAGATAGATAGATAGATAGATAGATAGATAGATAGATAGATGGATGGATAGACGGATGGACAGGTAGATAGATAGACAAATGGACAGATAGATAGACGGATGGACAGATAGACAGACGGATGGACTGATAGATAGATAGACGGATGGACTGATAGATAGATAGATAGACGGATAGCTAGATAGACTGATGGACGGATAGATATATGGACAGACAGATAGATAGATAGATAGGCAGATATCTATCTGGACAGACAGACAGATAGATAGATAGATAGATAGGCAGATAGATAATTATTAGATCTTTATTTTCAAGTGACTCTCCTAGTCCTTCCTAAATATGCACATACATAGATTTATTTGTATATTATTTTAACTATTTTAATAGATAAAAAATCTTGCCATGTGCACCTTTAGAATAGTGATATGAGATTTTTGTTCATTTTAGATGTAATTACTGCCCTGTTTGATAATATTCTTATGTTTTTATACTCTCAGGTCTTATTCATCAAGTGATGATGATGATGAGGAGGAAGTAAGCAAGAAGAAGAAAAAGCACAAGAGTCACAAGAAGAAAGGCAAGAAGGAAAAAAGGGAGAAAGAGAAGGAACCCAAGAAAAACCATAAAAAGAACGAGACTGAGTCCTCTTCATCTGACAGCTCTACTGGATCATCAGACACAGAATGAAGCTTTGACAGGACCACAGCATCACAGCAAAGTGAAAAAACAAACTGGAAAATACCTTCTGCCAGAGCCATTTGTACAGAAGACACCTTTATACTTTAGAAATAAGTCTTTTCTTTTATAGTCATGTCTGAGAGTTGGAGTGATGGTTATTTTGTGATGTTTCTAATGAAACTGTATTTTGTATATAAATGAAATGAAAACAACCCAAAATCCTTTCAGGTGAATACTTTTACAAAGTTTGTGTTTTTATAATATTTTACTAGAACTTCTGAACAAAAAAAAGACACATTTACTCTACAATAAAGAGTCATGGGCAATTATTTTTACCTTTTAACTCTGTGAGCGGTGATCTGGCAGCTTTATTTACAGTTTAGCAATCATACAAATACATTAGACTGCAGAATGGCACGAAAGCCAATGAATACAAAAATGCAATCTCATATTTTCCTCTGGTTATCTTACAGTATGTAGTTAAGTCTGCTCATATCTAAAAGTGATATGTATATATCCCAAACAGCAGGTGAGTAGTGATGTTAAAGTCATCTAGATTGCTCACATTCTTATTTTCTTTTACGTTTAAATGTTTTATTGTCCTTCTGACTCTGAGGGTGGAGTCCAGCCACTTAGACTTTATCGGGGGAGGAAAGAAATGGCCCACGCACACGGATGACAAAGCTCTTTTCTATACAGACTCGTTCATTTCTGGAATGAGTTTGCTGATTTTCTAGTGGATTAGGGAAAATTTGTTTCCACATATGGATTTCTGTGTGTGTGTGTGTGCGCATGTGTATTTAAATAGATCACCAATCTGGTAATTTTTAATTTATGAATTATTATTTATCTAATTACAATTATTTTATTGTCCTAATGTCATCATTGCAGTCAGGTATAAATAGGCGCCCAATAACAGTGTGTCCTGTATGGTTATATGTACTCTGAATCTTTAAAGTCATTAAAACTGTAGGTAGTTACTATATTCATGGCAACAGTGTTTTACTTAGCTAGCAATAAAACAATTCTGAGCTTCAAACTGCTGAGCAAACAAAATCCATGTCAGATGTCACATTCAGCAGAAACCCACTGAACCTTTTTTTTTTTTTTTTTTTAAGAAATGGTAGTATCCATGTTTCATTGCCTTATCTGCACAGTCTTATTAGGAATAGCTTTTTTGTCATATTCTACAATAGCTAATTATTATTTTTAAGCTTCAAAATTCATTTTTTTGTCTATAATAATAATAATGTATATTTTGTTCTTTGTCTAATAGTTTGGCAGATATGAGAGGTGTGGCTGCAAAGAACATCAAAGGTGTGTAAGCAAATAGCAGCAAGTTCTTGGAAAAAGACATTTGTGGCTATTTGTAATCATTAGCTATAGCTAGTGTTACTGGACTTTGAGCCTATAAGAAGGGCAATAAATATTTTGACAATAAAAAAGTTTGTAATTACCTTTTTCTATGCATTTCCAAGGGTGGGTCTTAACATGTGACGTTTCAAGCCCTATATAATCTTGGCACATTGTGTGCATGTTTCAGTGCACAGTGGAATAACTAAGGAAAATCAGGTAAAATCAAGCTGCAATGAAATATTTTTTGGTAAACTTTCTGTATAAGTAAAACTACATTTAAAAGTCATGTTAACTAACAAAATCTTTAAAATTCTATAGGTGTTTATAGGTTAGAAAAAAATGCTTTGGAGGAAATTTTTTTTCCAAATAACAGCATAAATATTCTTGATGCCCTAAATGTCTTTACCGGTCATAGATCATGGAGGTCACATCTCAACCTGCTGCATTTGAACCCCGAGACTTTCACTCGGGCTTGATGAGCTGCTGTGACGACATGGGTGTATGTAAGTGATTCCAATGATACTTGACCTATTGCAAGTAAATCTATCCATCTGATGTGATTTAATTTTAAATATATTTTTTTTTTTAGGCTGTTGTGGCTTCTTCTGTCTCCCTTGTTTGGGCTGTTCTATTGCCAGTGAGATGAATGAGTGCTGCTTATGCGGTTTAGGCATGCCGATCCGAAGTGTATACAGAACTAAATACAACATACCAGTTAGTATCTATCTATATATCTATCTATCTATCTATAAGATAGGGCCTATTTATTTACAGTTTTGTGTAATTTGCGTCTGCAGGGATCTATGTGTAATGACTGGATGGTCGCATACTGCTGCTTAGGTTGTGCAGCCTGCCAAATGAAGAGAGACATCAAAATAAGGAAGAGTAATGGAACACTGAAAGCATGAGAAGTGAAAAAGAAGCACTATCTATCTACACTACTATAGCAAGTCCTTACATATTGCTCTTGGAAATGAAAGATTAAAGAAAGTTGAGGTTAATCATTTGAAATGTAATGAAAATGTCTTTGCTATCATAAGTTTAATTAGGCTTAAAAAAAAAAAACATTGTTTCCATTCACTAAGTTTGGAGGGTTTATTTCACCCAAAATTGGCAAAACACTCATCCTTCCACATTCATGTTATCAAGTAATGTATAGCTCAAAAGAGGCTCAGCGGTGCAACCAGCACATTGCTGATTATGTGTGGCCTGTTGGTTGTGTTGTGCCTATGTATACAGTTCAAGAGAAGCATAATTATGGATGTATGTGGAACTTCAATGCAATGCTATAGACAAATTCTACTATTTGTAACAAAGTTACAATTACTGCAAAGTGAATTCTTTCTTTTTTTCTAAAGATGAGATTTAGTCTTCATTCCATGTTTCCCCATGTGAATGTGAACAGCATCAATGAAAGCATTATCAGTACTGTATGGGGCTTTTGGAGCCAAATAGCTATCATATTATAAACAGGTTCAATGTTAAAATATTTTCTCCTGTTCCAGTTTATTGTTGATTTGTAAGTTGTTCATAGGTGGACATCCTTGAGACTGAAAACACTGTGGTGCTTTCAAAAAAAAAGAATGGTTTTAATTTCAGTGGACCGAAACGTCAGCTCGACAGATTCCATTCGGTTCAGCTGATGGCTAAGAAATCTCACACCGCACCTTTAAAAGTAAACTACATGATGACTCGTTGTTAATATCTGTGGCTGACAGTGTTGAACTTCATTAAGAAAACCAAACAAAAGAATGGGTGGCATGGGGGTGGACTCTGGCAACATTAAGATTTTTTTTTTCTTCATTAAGAGTAATACTGAATCAACAACCTTAAGCATTCATTTTGTTCCAAGAATATGAAAGATCTAACGTTAAATATCAAAATAAGCGCTGTAGAAGCGAGAATGCGAGATTGTTATTATTATTGGTTGCTGCTGAGGTAATAGACGCTCTCGGTCTTTCTCGGTTGTGTCTTCGCAATGGCTGTAGAAATGGTCGTTAATTCTTGATTTGGGTCCGGCACAGACATGTTACAGGTAATAATATGATCAAAAAGTCATGGCAACAAATGACTTCCTAAGTCAGTTTAAGTTGAAACGACTTTCACAATCAATTTGATTAAACTTCATTCATGTTATACTGTTGATTATTGTCACTGTAGGCTTAGGCTATTTTTTCTATGAATTTTAATGAATATACAAATTAATAAAATTTGTTTTATTTATTTTTTGTAACCAAATTTTCATTTATTTATTTTTAACACCGCACCCCCAGCCCCCACATTTTTTCTTGGGCTACACGCCAGGGGGTGCTGCAGCACCCTCAGCACCCCTACTTCCCGCGGTAATGCCCTCATACTATGCCCAGGAAGGACAGAACTTCTCATTGGTCCATATGCAGTTTCTACACTTCACTTATCTCCAAACTACCTCCTAAGATTGTGGCCTGTGAACACCATAAAAATTCCGTAGGACTTCCGATTGCAACAGCAGTGGCTGAAGTAAACAGAGGTCACAAGGATCCATCCAAATCCATTAATAACTATGTTTGAAAACCTTAAAATGTAAACTACAACACATATGCAATAAATATTTTCAGTGGCGGCTATTTGTAGTGGAACATCTTATACAAATTCAGCTGATACCATACAAATGAATGCACAACCATGTGCAACGTAAATATCACTTAATCAAACCTCTTTCCAGAGACCTTGGCATTGTTGTACATTATCAGTTTGTGATTTTCTAATTTACATTAGATGTTATATAGCTGCTGTCAGTTAATAACAAATAATCTTTCATTTATTTCTTTGATGCATACTGTAATAAGGTTTTCATAAGGTAACGTAAGTCTGCCATAGCAACATTCAACTTACTGACTGACATTTTATGCATCTTGTGCACTGTATTTCCTTTACCATTCATTGTATTCATTTAGTAGTTTTGTTGATTACTTGTTTATCTTTTTGTTAATACAGTTTATTTTATTACACTTGTGTGCTCTTTGTATTAATAATAAAGTAAGAGGCTCTACACATTAACAATATCTCACAAATTCTTCAGATTGGCCAGCTGACAAACTCCCTCCGATTAACTTAATAATACCTATTCAACAATCTTCCTTGATTATAATTAAATGTTGAGATGTCAGTATCTCCTGCGCTACTAAGTCCCTCATCTCGGCCACGGAGACTGATTGGATCTCAAGTTCACCCTCCTCCCTCGTTGCGTTCACTATGGCCATCACTAGTCTCCTCGTCACGGCCACGAGGGCCTTTCCCTATTCCTATGCTCCGGTCTCCTGCGACACGGCCGCGGAGGCTGTCCCAGAAATGCCCATTCTCTCAGACACGGCCACAGAGACCATCACTGAGACGCCTATTTTGTGGCGCGAGGTCGCACCTTCCGGGAGAGGGGAGTAATGTCAGGGTTATGTTCTGTTTGGTCTTAGTTTTCATTGTGTTCTGTTGCTCTTTGCATTTTTGACCAGCTTTACCAATGAGTTTGATTGATTGACCCCATTCACCCGCCATTAGATCATTTTGTTTGCCCTGAGTATTTAAGCCCTGTATTTTGTTCTGTTCGCTGTCTTGTCTTAACGTTGCTACCTCGATGTCATTTTCATTTATTTACTGGATTATCGCTGTTTGTTTTTTTGTTTCAATTAAATACTACTTATCTGATCTTCAAGCCTGATCATTCTGTATCAGTC